ACACACTAGAGATGAACTAAAACACACACACACACTAGAGATGAACTAAAACACACACACACACTACAGATGAACTAAAACACACACACACTACAGATGAACTAAAACACGCACACACACACACACACACTAGAGATGAACTAAAACACACACACATACACACACTAGAGATGAACTAAAACACACACACACACACACTAGAGATGAACTAAAACACACACACACACTAGAGATGAACTGCTTTTTGGCATCAGTGGATTCCTATGTTATCGACTATTGAAGAAGACAGCGGCAGCAGTTTCGGTCATGGCAAAACTGCAGAGTCTGTGTGAAGGTTTGGTTCGTGCTTTGCTTACTCAAAATCAGCTGATTTATGAGCTCAACCATAAGATGGAAGCGATTTGTGAGAATTGCAAGCCACTTGTGGCTTCTGGGACTTGCCAGCATGTTGGGGATGACCTTGGAGGGGGCTCATAAGCACAGACCATGGAATGCCCACAAATCTGGCCATTTTGGGATCGAAAGTACCAGCAGGACTCAAGGCTGACACGAAAAAAACAGTCTGCCTGAAGAAAATCAACAATTGTGGCTTATCTGAATCTGACTCCCAAATTTGTCCTTGAAGCAGGCCGACTTATCAAATTTCTCCTGGGATAAGTGTAAGCTAAAGAAAAGCTATGTCTATTGCAACCCCCCACCCCTCGAGAACTTCTGTGAGGGCCTATCAGAGCTGTACCGGCTGACAACAACATCTTATCAGGACTATGGCCTACCTGGAAGTGCTTCATGTACAAATCTCACCGTCTTGTCATCAAATGCGTATGTAATGGGTTTATAACTGTGCTGCTGGCAGAGGTTGTTTGATGTCTTAAATCGTGTTCTGATAAGGACAAGGTGTGAAGAGATCTTTTTTGTAATACCACTATCCTAGATACCACAGTGGTAGATACCACTACCACTAGATGTTATCATTGTTTTTCTTTACGTTTTATTGTTGGATGTAACTGGGACCATGTGTGCATAATTTCGTCCCACCACGTGTACCACATGTGGTGCGAACAACAATAATGAATCTCTGACTCTGATCTTATCCTCATGGCATTTTCCCCTTTTCTATCTAAAAAGTATTCTGAAAAAGGATAAGGGGCCGCGCTCTCAAGGAGCAGCAGCAACGTGCACTCCGCCCATCTTTTGGACAACTGTACGAACATAATCTCACTGTACTTTGGTACAATGATGATAAAGCTTATTCTGATTCTGACACCAAGGAGCTGAATAAATACACACACTAACAAGGACAAATGACAGGCACCTGCGGTGATTAACATTGAACACAGGTGAGACAAAGGCTGAATAAAAGGAGAAGAAACACTGAGAGGTGAATGAAAACATGAGGGAACGGAAACAAAACAGGACAAAACCCAGAACCCCTACACTCAGACTCTGTCCTGAGCAGCACAGAGGTGACAGTGGAAATAAACAACTTGACTTTAACAAGAAGAAACCTCCAGCAGAACCAGGTCCAGATCCAGAACCAAAACCCAGCTCAGGATGAGCCTTCTAAAGATAACATCATTAAGGTCTACATCCTGACAAAGACCCCAGATCTGACCAAAGGTCAGTGTTTTGGACTTAGTGCAGGTTTTTAACCAGAGTGACACCAAATTATTTGACCATGAGGCAATCCTAAAACCATAAACATCAGATCAGCATCCAGCTAACATCACAGCATCCAGCTAACATCACAGCATCATACAGCTAACATCACAGCATCATACAGCTAACATCACAGCAGCATCCAACTAACATTGCCCTTGCCGTGGGCGGACGCTTTTCCTCTCCCTCTCCCTCTTCGCTTTGCTGCTCTGTCTGTCTGTGAAACTGCTTCTGAGCCTCTCTTGCATCTTCCGAACCATAATTATGGACTTGATTTGATCAGTTGGTCCCTCAACACAATTGATAACATTTCTTCGAAGAGAAGACAGGCTTTAGGCGAGCCGATTTGCCCTGTTGGCACACACGCAGCTGGATATCTCATTGACTTGAAGACTTGATGATGTGTCTATCTCTGCTGCCATGTGTGGATTTTAAGGACGCATATTTAATTGGATTTATGATAACTGGTTCCTGCTTTTTGGATTTGGCTGGTTGCTGGTTTTATCTACAATCAAGGAAGTCGTCGGCAGCAAATTTGGACCCGATCATGCTGCTTGCCTTTATGATTGCTTGGTTCGTGCCTCGAGTACCCAGACTCAAATGCTTTGGGCAGAATGGATTAGATTTCGGGGATTTTACTCAGGCATGTTCCATCGGTGTGGCCATGTAATTTGGACATTTCAAAATCGAGTGGACCAACACAGACTCAAGGTAGATGTCATTAAGTTCTGCCTGTCCCCAAAACAATTGTGTGTTTATCTGAATTTGGCTCCCCTGGCTGGCCTTGAAGGCCATCTTATCTGAATTCGCCTGGAGAACATGTGATCTGACGCTCATCCCCCCCCCCCCCCCTTCCCTCGAGGAATTTCTAACTGATCAACAAGAGGAAACCAGCTGAATAAACATTGTGTCATCATTTCAGGACTCTTGGATTCCCATTGGTGTTGTCCTTGGCCATTCCTCGAGAATGTTTACAGATCTCATCGAAGGGAACTGGCTGATTATTCCATCCTTATCAGAACTCTTACAGTGTCCTCGAGAGCGTCCATGGACATTGTTCATGGCTCTCGTCGTCTCCCCCCTCTGCAGAATGTCTACAACACTAAGTGCTTGTTTGTGCAAGGTGATTTTTAATATTAGAGTTTTTCTTCTCAGCCAAGAATAAAGAGTCTGATAGGATTTTTTTGCCTCCAATTCCTACATGTGTCCAGTTTCATTATTTTTTGTCTGTCTAAACAGATCTTACTTGTAAATGAGTCTACTAGGCTCATTGTGACTTATCTGTCTAAATAAAGGTTGAATGAATGAAAAACATCAGAGCAGCATACAGCTAACATCAAAGCATCATACAGCTAACATCAGAGCAGCATACAGCTAACATCAGAGCAGCATACAGCTAACATCAGAGCAGCATACAGCTAACAT